GCCCACATGACCTAAAATGCTTTAGTTTGATGGATGTGGGTCCAATTAGAGCCCAGATTGGGTTTCTTGGCCCAAAATAGCCAAATTGAAAATTACTGGTCCATTAGGCCCAATAAGGGGATCCTAGTCCATACTAAACTTGAACCGGGATTTTTAGGGTTTTCAACCCATAGTTGAATATGTGAGATGTATTGTATTAGATTTTGAACTTTACTCCGGAGTTTTGATTCAAATAGATGATTTCATTTTAGCATATAGCATGGTTTTTACTTAAAGTACAAGTCTTACAAGAGCTGAGGTTTACATGAAAACAGAATTTCCTAGCTAAAAATGCAAGTTGTGACACCAGCCTTGCCTGGCGCTCCCTTGCCAGTCTTGTTGGGGGCTCCCTTGTCAGCCATGCATGACGCTCCCTTGACTGGCGCTCGCCCGCCAGCCTTGCCTGGTGCGCACCCGCCACCCTCTGCCGTCAGCCACCATACACTACCCCTAGCACCAAGATGGTTCTCTCCAGCTATGAAGAACCATCTCATCCGCCAAACTGATCTAACTTGATCGTCAGAGCCTGCTCCTGGGGCACAGTCCTTGGGACGGTTCTAACGACTTTGCTCTATGATGTCCAGATCTCTGCTGCAGCAGAAGACCAGCAGAATCGCCGAAGGTCGATGTTGCATCATATATATATATATATATATATATATATATATATATATATATATATATATATATATATTCCATAAGAGTATTAGGTATTAATAATCATAATGGTGCGACATGTACTCAGGCTGTCAGGTCTTCTGTGTTGGATCCAGATCAAAGATCTAGAGTCGGTGCTGTCAGCGAGTTTCCGATGAGATACCTAAGCGGCAGTTACTGCAAAGTCATTAGAGTTGCCCCAGGGATTGTGCCCTGGGAGCAAGCTCCAACGATCAAGTTAGATCGGTTGGTAGAGATGGGATGGTTCTTCCTAGCCGAAGAAAACCATCTTGGTGTGTTTGGTGTGTGTTTGTCCATGGAGGCTCTTGGGTTTAGGTCCCAGGAAAGGTCCAAGGGAAGCTCTCCCTCTATGGAGGAGATTATGTTCTATTTATATGGGATAATTAGGTCAAGAGAGAGTTAGGTCAAGCCTTGGGCCAGCTCAACTCATGCCCAGCTAGCAAGGAGTTGGGTAAGGCCTCTTAGGGTCGTCAGGCGAGCGCCGGGAGCGGGCGTTGGGCGAGAGCCAGGCGTGAGCGCTAGACAAGGCTGGCAAGCGAGCGCCAAGAGAGCACCAGCCTTGGTTGGCGCTCTAAGTCTTGATTTCTGGGCCATGCTAATGGACCATACGTTAACAAGTATTATTAATAATTTATCTTCTCAACAATTTTTACCTTGAATATTATTATATAATATTATATGTTTATCCTAACATAAAATAGAACCATATCATGTCCGCACATAGCATAGTATATACATATATTAACATATAATCCAGGCAATAAGCATATAATTCACGTAAGACTTCCATTAGATATTTACTACTTTAATTATACTTGTATTAAATCATGTTCATGAAGGGGACTATGCAATCACTTGACAAGGTGTCTGGTGATTGGTGAATTGGGCAGAGCTTCGCCTTACACCTTTTTTCCAAAAGACCTAGATGTACATAAGGCTAAGTCTTAGTCTAATTTCATATTTCATGGAACTATTATCCTAAGGGTTTATATTCCTCAACAATCCTAAAGTCTACTTCAAGATCAAAATAAGGAATAATCAGGTACGATCATATCAGAGGTAGGGTCTGTTTGGTATACAGAGTATACTGTTTGGAAATCCCACTTTAAACACCTCACTAAATCCAGCCTAGACATCACTTTCATAAGTAGATCGATCAGTATAACGACTTGAAATTACTGATAAACCTTAATTATAGATTCATAATAACGACTATGACTATAATTAAAAGTTACACTTAACATGAACTAAGTGTAGCTTAACTTATAGAGGTTCTTGATGAAAACCGAAATCCAAGAGGACAAAATACTGACTCGGAATCTCCTACTCGAAGGATATTACTCAGATGAGTACTCAGGGGTGTCGCAGGGCTTCGATGTAGGTCGGAAACGAGAGAAAATGGCTTAAAAGGTAAGATCGCTCGAGAGAGAAAGTGTGTAGAGGTGTAGAGGTGAAAGAATATACGAAACCATATATTTATAGACAAGAAAAAACTTGTGTGTCACGCACTCTAGGTATGTGTGCCGCGTACTAAGGCCTGGGTGGCTCCATTGGGCTTATGTCACGTGTCGTGTCGTCGTTCGCCCACCTCGTCCCCCTTCTAGAAGGTGACATGTGTCACACTCTTATGGATTCACGTTCCGTGTTATTTTGGGGACACGTAGACGAGTATCTAGGAGGAAGCGGCTCCCGACCATGCCACGTGGCGCCCTCTAATGGTGTCATGTCATCAGTGCGTGTGACGCACTTTACACGCGAATTTCCTAATTTTCAAAATGTCGTAACTTCTTCATACGAGCTATGTATTCGACGTTCTTTATATCCTCGGAAATCTCTTAATGAGATATACAACTTTCATTTAGACCCCGTCGGCTAATTTTGAATTTATTTTTAAAGTTATATTTTTAACAAGCTTAAACTGTTAAAGTCCGTTAAAAATTCATAACTTTCTCATATGATATCCGTTCTCGGATGTCTTTATATCGACGGAACCATATGGATGAGATCTTCAACTATCATTTAGATTGTTTTTCCTAACAATCAACCGATCTCTACTTCGGTTTCTGAGTTGTATAGTGATGCGTTGAAACTTCAAAAAATCATAACTTCCTCTTACGAAGTCAGATTTGAACGGTCTCTATATGCATGCTCTCGATTTAACGACTACTACTACTTTCGTTTAGATCACTTAGGCTAAAAAGTAATCTATCGAAAACTCACTTTTTACGATACGTAGAACCGTGTCGGTTTAATCGCGAAACTACGAAGAAGCATAACTTCTTCATACGAAGTCGGATTTTAGCGTTCCTTATATGTACGGAACCCTTGTCACATACACTATAACTTTGGTTAAGGTTATTTATCCTAAATAATCTTCCATGAAAAAGTCATTTTTAACGTTAAATATGTCTTAATAGACTAGCCCGAATCTGCGGGCATTACAAATGTCACCTTCTAGAAGAAAGAGGTGTGGAGGAACCGGAGCGCGACATGTGTCAAAATGACATAGGAGCCAGCAAGGACCAAGTGCATGGCATGCCCCTTGGCCTTGCGCAACACACCTCCATCTCCCTTACAAATACTCCTCCGAAATTCATGCATTCTCACCTTAAATTCTCTATATCTCTCTATAATCTCTTCAGTTCCTTCGAGTCCAACTTTCTCCCAAATTTTAGGATATTTTAGTAAGGTTCTAAGGTCCCGGAGTTCTCAGAAAATAAAAGTGTTCGAGTCGGGATTTTGTCCGCGTATATTTACCGGTTTTCGCTAAAACCTCTATAAGTTGAGCTACACTCTCTGGATTTTTGTGTAACTTATATTTATAGTCATAAGTCATTATTATGAACCTATAAAAAAGATTTATCAGTAATTCGAAGTCAAAATACTGATTGATCTACTTACTGAAGAGGTGCCTAGAATGGCCACGTTGGCTTGGTTGTTGGATTTCAGAAAAGTTATACGCCGAAATGATCCAGCCTCCCAACTGTCCGGCCTGGCCGATCTTTATTTGATAGAACTATCGGTATTCATTGGGATTATTAGTAGGTCAAGTCTACATTACAGATTCCCATAGGAACTAATAAACTATAGTAATATAGGTAGATTCGCGTTGGAGTGATGCTCGTCAATCGAAGTGTCCAGTTAACTATTTATCCCTTGAGAAACTGTCAAGGTGAGTTCGTCTCAATATATTGTATACTCCAGTATGTATCCTATGTATGTTAGGATATAGTTACCCTATAGTATGCACTTAGGCAATTAGACTGGGATAGTTAGTTGCATGTTATGTGGATTGTTGTTATATATGTATGTCATTATATATGGAGTTGAGGGTGGACCAACCTCGTGCTGAAGGTTAATAGACTTGGGCAGACTAGCTTCATGTTAAAGGCCAAGATGCGGACCAGCTATATGTTGTAGGCAAAATGGACAAACCAGTTATATGTTGAAGGTCGAAGGGCGGACCAACTATATGTTGAAGGTCATTGTGTGTATGCATTGTATATGTTTTGTGGTGTGGAATATTTTGAGGGAATTCACTAAGGCTCGGCTTACAGTTGTTGAATAACTACTTTGCAGGTTGTTCATCATACCGTGGAAAGGCCCTAAGATACTCTTTTATATAATAATGAATTGTGATGTTTTGTAAGACTTATATTTTAAATAAATAAAAATGAAAATTTGCCTTTGAAATATGGGACGTAACATGCTAAGGTATGAATATCAGCAAATTTCCAATGTGGATTGGATTCTCTGTGAACTCAAAGCTCTTATATAATGATCTCACCTCCACTGTGTACTAATTAACATTTTATATCATACTCTTGATACAAAGCGGTGTGGGTCGTCTCAAGGACTATTAGAAAAAGTTTCAGCAACAAATTTCAAGGTTTTCGACCAATCCACACATATCGGAAATCACGTTTTTAGAAAGACAAAGTTGCAAGAATGGTCCCTATGGTTAGGTCGAAATTGCTACTTTGGGCCAAACAAGTTTGGACTAGCATTTATGGTCCAAAGGTTTTCATTTTCTTGCCATTTTGGTCCAATTTACTTTAAATTTTTTAATAATGACCATTTTGCCCTTTGTTTTTACTTTTTCAGTTTTTTTATTTATTCAAATACTTTTACAATTAAAAGAAAAATAAAAAAGAAATTTTTTTTTCTCTCTCTCTCTCTCCTCCCTCTCTCTCCATTAGAACCTGAAGCTTTCTGCATCTACTCCGAGCATCTAAATCACCACCCTCCACTATTCTTTCCAGAACCACCACCTGCAGCTACTATCACCCCCTCCTGTCACCACCACCATCAGATTCCACCATTATAAAGAATAGAAAATTAGAAATCATTTTTGTTTTTTGTTTTATCTTCTTGTAAAAGAAAAGTTGATCAGCTATGAATCATCAAATATTAAACATTGATAACCAAAATCAAATTAGAAATCAACAATCTATCTTTGAATGTTCATCGATTTTAAAGCACATAAAACATTCAAAATCATATTACAAAAGCACTAATCTATCCAAGAACATTCATAAATCAGTTTTCAAAACTAGATGCAAAAATCAGATGTTAAAGCAAGCCCTAGCGCACACGATGCATCACCACCAAGAAACCCTAGCCGCCATGAACATCCCAGATCTGTGCAAAAATCATATTTTCCATCCTCTATTTCAGTAAGCCAATAAACCCATTTCCACGAAACATACATAAATGTTAATGAACAAACGGGACTATTGTTCGTGTTCGTTAGTTTAGCTATACGAACACAAACTCTTGTTTATGTATGCTCATTTATTAAGTAAGCGACCTTTCGATGAACTTTATTTTTTGAACGGCTCCTATTTTAATCCTAAATTACACCGATGTCTATAGACTTGAACGTCAACTCTAGGGGAGGAACATATTTTTCGAATCTTTAAAACTTCAACACGTTAGAGTGGAACACATACCGTTAAAATAAGTATTGTATATATATATATATATATATATATATATATATATATATATATATATATATATATATATATATATATATATATATATATTGCTATAAACTGCATTTACATTTTTTGACCAACAACGAAATCTAATCCATGAGGTCTAGCAGACCAAAGTGAATTTAGTACACGAAGACGTTGGAAATACTCGCCCAATGCAAGCAACCCTTTTGCTGCCTGACGATTTGTCAAGACTCGTGACATTTGTTGTAGCGTTCGATATCGAAGATGATCCGCCTGTAAATTTTAATATTTTCAACATCTGAAATTTCTAAAAATCAACAAGACCTCGAGCAATTAGTATTTACCTGGTTTAAGAAGTTTTCGAGTGCTTGGAGCTCCTCCATTGCCGAAATCATCCAAGTGTTGCAATTTGCACTTTCCGTTATGTTAATAGCGACGCTTTGAGCCAACGTTTGTTCAAGTTTATCAATTCCTTGAGTTAATGCATCTTCGGCTTGTCGACATGTGTGTCTAAGCTTGGATAAATTCACGATTTGTGTATCTGTTAACGGCTCAAACCATGGCATTAGTATCTGTCAAAACCAAAAGATCATTATCAGAACATAAGATTCAGCAGTCGCAGTGTTGGAGTTTTAATTAATTCCAATATGGATTGAGTTATTTGTAGGCATTGGGACCACCTAGTAGATTCTTGTGTATATGATTTACATCTCATGTAATGATGTTTTCTATATAGGGTGGTGTGCGTTAGGTATATTAGGGGTTGTGGAAAAACAGCATTTTGCATAAACATAAACCAATGTGGTATGTATGTAACTAGTTGTTGGACAAATTTGATTGGTGAGGTTATGATTTAAGGACTTACATATAGAACCTCGGAGGGTCGGAATCCACCAAGCCATTCAAACAACCTCTCAATAGGAGACCTCCACGACCCATATAACAAATTAAAGGCATCGACCTTTGCAGCATCAGCTTTCATCCAGAAAAGATCTTGGTAGCGGTCTATAACACCATCTAAGACTATCCGAAGCTCATCATCACTTACATCGGTTTGTAGGATAGTCATAAGTTCACTCTCCTTTTTATGTTGCTCAACAACCCATAAATCATACTTACCCACAAATGTAGCAATCCCTACACATGAGAACCGTTTCAAAAGATTTTGCAATGTTGAGTACAAAAGTATTCATGCAGAAAAAAAAATACGAAATCATATACACTCAAGTTGACATTACCATGTAATTCACCATGGCCTACATTTGGTGGATCCACATACGTAACCTGTAATCAAGACAATAACAAGAAGTTTACACACAAAGTCCAGAGAACAAATCTAGCGACACTATATCGACAGAAACATGCTTTAGCGACAAATTTTAGTGTCTCAAAGTTTTTGCATAGCAGGATTCTCTTTAACCTGTTGTCGAGTCCTCTTGATTTCATGCTCCAGTTTTTCCAACTTTAGACGCCCTGATTCCAATTCTCGAACGTAGGCCTACACAAACGAGACAAAAAGATCATGCTAATTAAAAATATCAAATTATAATCACTTGAAACCAAAATGTTTTTCCATACCTTTTTCTTTAAACGACTTTTTCGTGCAGCTTCACGGTTTTGTGCTAATCGTCGTTGAAACTGAAATACATTAATTAACATATTAAAACTCATCTCTAGCAGCACATTATTTTTAAATATCATAAGATCTCATATATATATATATATATATATATATATATATATATACATATATATATATATATATATATATATATATATATATATATATATATTATTACATAATCAAATGAAATAAGTTACCTTATCTGAAATGTTCTTATCCGACTCCCGATAAGATTCTAATGATTCTTGAGAAGTGTACTCCATCTAAAGAACACGACAAAAAGAATTATATCTGTAAAATGTAAATACAGGGTAAAGATGATCATCCGTACGATGAAAATTCATAAAATAATATATATGTTCTCCTACATTGTTGGTTAGTTTTGTTGATTCGGGTTGACTGGTGATGGTATGGCTCTTCTTCGTGTTCATGTGATCATCGAAGATGCCGTTCGACATGCTAACATGGTGAAGTGGATCATATGTTCCCATTCTTGACGAAGTGGAAAATTGGGTTGATGTTGGTGCCATATTTATATGCAAATCCTAATATAGTAAAAAAAAATGCGTAAATTATACAACTAGTAAGGTCAATTACTGTAATTAGAAAGTCCCGACTTCCTATGTTGAAACCAGTCTTTTTGCAAAACAAAACGATATCATATTGGTTGTTGAATGAGTGATACTCAATCGCTTAATTATATGTCCATAAGAAGCATAGCATAAGTATAGAACCAAATAAAAAGACTTTTAATTATGCTATCCTTCAGTAGAGTATGAGTTTGGGTAATCTCACCAAAACTCTTATCAAACTAATAAAAGATATATCAAACAACCTTTAAACAAAATTAAAAACAAATTACAAAATTTTACGGTGTGCATATAGAGAGACCTATTGATGCATGAGCAAATGGAGAATGGAAAATCTTGAATAACAATAAAGATGGAAAATATGTAAATATTATGCGGGGGTTTTATAGACAAGGAATTAAATGCATTAACATAATAAATAAATATAACCAGGTTAGTGGAAAGGGATAAAGTCGCTTTAAATTATTTCCACCATCCACAAAATGTATTATGATTATTCTAGATTGGTATAAAAATATATTATAATATTTGGAAATATGTTTCTATAAAGTTATCTACATTGATAACTATTGGTCAAAACTAGGTCTACACATAAACACAATAAGAACAACTACTTTTTCACCGTTTTCTCTTCGTTATTAATTTATTTGATATATAATAGCACAAAAAACCTGTATGCATGGTTAGTTCTTTTATAAAAATACATTAGAATCGGAGAAAAAGGCTAAAGTAAATTAAAATGATATAAATGAAGTTTAATTATTGCAGGCAATAGTAAATAAGAAAATGACATTAGCTTTTTGAAAAGTTTGATTAAATTATTATGCTTTCCTTTTGCTTGGTGTTTAAGAATCCTAAGATATTTTTAGTAGGAGTCTCTATAACGAGTTAATTAGTTGATTTTATATATCATTTTGTGTAGAGAAATGTGATGTGTTTTTCTTTTAAAATAAGTACATAGAAATTAGCTCATTGTATATAAGCAATCTTTTTACAATTTCGGTTTTGAGAAACTTCTTTCTCTAATAGTAAAAAATCATTGTTACTGAAATAGTCAACAAAAAAATTTCATTAATACTGAAATAGTCAACAAAACTCTATATACAATAACTGCATTAGGAAAAGAATCGACTTTTTTCATATATTTTAAAACATTGGTGATGTTGATAGTTTCACTCGATAAGAACTCATCAAACAATTTTAACTCCAAATAAAGTTCATTGACATAAATATCCAATCGTTCACCGTATTTAAATGCGACTTCCTGACAGCTACAACACAACTTATGATCTTTGCCATTAAATTCCTTCAACTTTTTTGAAACAAAAAACAAAAATTATTTTCATACTCTAGCTTCGAGTTGTTCGAATCTTGTTATTAGAGAAGTCATCGTTTGATCAACAATATATAAAAAATAGTTTACTTTAAATTTCTCATCGGCTAAAAGTACGACATCTTGATTACTTGAATTATCATCAAACTGTTTTTTTTATGAACGAGACGCTTTTGAGGGAACACTAGATCAATATTCATTTCAATCGAAAGTTCATTAGCATCATCAATTTCCTTAAATAACCTTGATTTTCTAAACTACTCGAAGGACTCAATTAACATATTTACTTCTTTAATAGCAACATCGACAAACATATCATTTGATTGTAATTTTTACTGACCAAGTTCACGGTATATAATATTTTAGCGTGAGCTATTGGAATTGAAACAAAACATGGGCTTTTGTCTTTGATTATCGGAATGCCAATTGCTTGACAACAAACTAAATCGTATGTAAAACTGACCCCTTGACGATATGGATCATGTGCATCTCCCACCTCGTATACCCTCAAAGACGCCCCTGATCATGTAAAAAAAAGAGATCTATGAAGTAACAAATTTTGTGAATATTCAATTATAAATATATTGTGCACATTTTTAGGGCAAATTGTATAAAAAAAACACTAAGGTTACATAAAATTTTGATTTTGACATTGTGTTTTTTTTTCTTAATTAAATCACTAAGTTTACAATTTTGTTTGAAAATTAACCAATTGACCGGTTGCTTCATGTTTCATGTTACTCACTTGTTGATTAGGCAAAAAACTGGTATAGCTTCCACATATGATCCTAATTAGCAAACGTATGGGTTATATTAAATCATTAAATAGATATGTACTCACTTTTCATTATTTCTTATTATTTTCTTCTCTCAAAGCATCACGACTTTGTGCAATGGATTTAAAGGTCAATCAAGTGGTTCATCATCTCATAGTGGTGTAAGCAAAGGCAAAGAATGTTTCCCACTGTCACATCACTTAAAGGAAACATTTCTTGTCTTGTTTACATCATTTTGGGATGATGAACCATTTGAACAACTTTAGGAAACCATTGCCAATTGTGATGTTTTGAGACAAGAAAAATAAGAAGAAATATGGGAAAGTGAATACAGATCGATGTTAGGGTTCAATTTAATTAAAGTGTTTGTCAACTAGAATCATATATGGAATTTACATCAGTTTTTTGTTTAGTCAGCAAGTAAGAAACATAAAACATATAAAGCAAACCGGTCGGTTGGTTAAATAACTGTAAACTGAATGACTTAATTGAGAAAAAAAACATAATGTCAAAATCAAAATTTTATATATATTTAGTGTCTTTTATGCAATTTGTCCTAATTTTATAACTTAATTTACATAAAAGATCACATGAATAATTTTTCAGAGAAAGAGTTTAAAAGGTAAAGTAACTATGAATTTCTTTAGTTGTGCAAGTTATAATATCACTACTTTCAATTTCATATGTAACTTAAAAGATTCTTAATTTGAATCTGAATATAGTCTTTAGCAATTACATTAACAATAAAAACACTATTCACTTATAAATAGCTTTAGAGTACAGTATATTTAGAGGACTTGTCGTTAAAGCTTTTTTTCTTCTTTAGCAAAGATGCACCTTTTGGTGCCTGTTCAATAACCTTCGGAAAGCAACACCATTTAGGAAAGAAAAATAAAGTATAACCACCTGTCACTCATAAAGATATTGTGAGATGAAAGCTTAATTTAACACAAAAAATCGTGAAACGCTCATGTTTCATCCCCGAAATGAGCCTTATTTACTACTTAGGGGTATTTTGAACAGTGTCATGATTTAACTACTAATATTTTATTTTTTTAGGATCGAACAATATGAGTTTTATACTTTTTTCCAAATAACAATTTTCACATGTTTATTAAGCTCACCAATAATCATTTTATATCATGTTTTACAGTTAGTTTTGTTATATTGGGTGACCAGTATGGAAATCCATGAGAAAGTGAGGGAAGTTTTGCTTCAAAGATGATTTTCTAATCATGGAAATCCACCCGAACACAACGCTCATACAATATCCGCGATTTGGTGCAAGATGTTAGAACAATAAAGTGTGAATATGCCATCAAAGAGTATTTAATGGGGAATTGAATTAGGTGTTAAGGAATAAGCTTTGATGTTGATTCAAGATAAAAACCTTCCAATGTGAAAATTAAGGTAAAATATTGGTGGAAGTATATTGTTATTTTAGTGTTGGACCTTAATTGCTTCATGATATGGAAATTGGTTAATTTCGATATTTACAATTTTTGGATATTAAATTGACTTAAAACATTTAAGGGGTGTTGGTAATTAGGGCATTTCCAATTAAAAAGATGAATTTAATTTTATATTTTGTCTAAGTAATAAGTTTTGCCTAAGTAGCAACATAGGGGTAAGTAAAAAAGATAACAAATCGTAGTAGTGCATGGATGATTTCAAGTGTGGGGGCTAAATACCAAGCTTTGAGATGAATAACCTTTCGAGGTTTGTCATGTGGGAAGGAAAGAGTTTTTTATGCTTTTGATAGGTGAGATGAAATCAAGATTTATGTCCAAGGAAAATTGTGTGGTATTGATTATAAAAGCATCAAAGTTCACATACGATTCCTTAAGTTAACATATGATTCCTTTATGGTATGAACACCACTCCTTCGAGTTTTGAATTTTATGATGAGAAATAGTGAGAAAATTGAGTTTGGATGTTAATTTGGGATTGAATTAGTAAATAATGTTTCAATTGGTATTAGAACACCGGCTTCTGCCTTGATTAACCCAAACAATCAAATCCATTCATTTTGGTTTCTAATGTGATTAGAGATGATTGGATATTAAAAGTTGAAAACAAAACTCGAGTTTTGAATGAAAAAAATAGGGTTCTAGTATGTTTGTTACGATCGTATGTGGCTTGTGCCTAGCCTGTATATGCCTTGTGTTTAGTTTTGTGGAAAACAGATAATAGTACTACCTTACAAATATTTTTACCCGAACAGTGGTAATACAACCTTACAAAAAAACTTTAGTTCATACAACTTTCACATGATGAGAAAATATGAGAATTTTTTGTGGAATGGATGGTATGGTCTGCAAGTTGTAATGAAAGGACCCTTTATATGGGAAATGAAGTTCTAAGTGATCATATTTTTTAGAATTAGGAGTGTGATAGTTTTATTGATTCCTCAATCGAGATCGAGGTGAGCACATAGTATTTTAACAAACATGTCTCATATTACCTCGTACTTTCAATTTATATATATTTATTTAATAAATACTATATATTTCTAGTCACATTTCATGTACTTATATGTTCATCATACAAGCATTGACACATATGGTTGACTAGTGTCGTCTTGTCAAGGTGTATGCACAGTTGTGAAAATATGAAGAAATTTTGGTGCATTAAAATGAAATAGTCTTGTATGCATAGTTGTGCAAATTTGAGTATGTTAAAAACTGTTAAGATGGATATGAGAAAGAATGATCTTTGCAAGCCATGTAATTGCTTTGGATGACGTAATGTACCTTATCGTCTTATCCCTTATTAATATGAATAAATATAGTGATGATAAGTGGACCCTTATGGGGGAAGGTGATTTAGGAGTACATCCTCTACAAGGAAGCTACAATATAAGGATTCATGTCCCTTCTAAGTTGTACGAGGCATACATCATAAATATTAGAATGTATACGTGTACCTTAGGGTTGTACAATATCTGAATTTAAGTTTCAACTCGTATGAAGTTGAGAATATATGGGTTCGTTAGTGTTATATAATAGAATGTTTCATTCGAGATTAAACCTCATATAAATAGAGATACACAAAATATCTAATCTAAGTTCTAAAAGGTTTGGGCCTAAACCCTAATCACTAACATCCCCCTGCAGTTTGATCAGGAGGAGACGATTAAACTGAAAAAACATAAAACACAACATAAATGAAGACAGCGGCAGCGACGGTGGCAAAACTCTAACGATGGTGGCTAACAACAAATACTCGTTGGAGAAGGAGAGAAAAGAAGTGGCGGCTAACGGTGATTCCTTTGTATAAGAAGATAGGAGTGGCGGCGGCAGCGATCATCGAGTCGGCGGCAAAGGAGTCCAGAGAAAAGCAGCGAGACAGAAAGAGAGCTCGAGCTGCGGCAGAAGGAGCCTATTCCGACTGACTCAAAAAAATAGATCTGAAGAAGAGGCAAATTGAGGAGAAGGCAGAAAGCTTAGAGCCTGGAACCATCCGACGAGGAGATATAAGCAAACGAGACAGTAGAAGAAGTTGAGGTAAGAGCCCTAGTTTGGTGTCGACGGCTGTTTTATCATTTAGGAGGAGAAAAAAATAAACGAAGGGAATATGAACCATAATGAAGGCACCTCCGATGACTATGAGAGAATGTCTTCGGAGGTGGAGGGCGACGGTAGCGGGTTGTTGTCAACGGTAGGATTTTTAACCTAGATCTCTTATACCATGTTATATAATAGAATGTTTCTTTCATAAATAGTGAGGTTAAACCTCATATAAATAGGGAAACATAAAATATCTAATCTAAACCCTAAAGGGCTTGGGCCTAAACCATAATCACTATCAGTTAGAATGGTATAGTATGAATAGGTACTATTATGTGCCAGCTAGTATGTGACATTGTACAAGCATACATATAAGAGTGCATGTACATACTGTTTTAAAATGATGAGTTTAGTTTGAGGGGAAAATGACTTATAAGCCCAACAAAGTTTCCAAATCGTTCAAAATAACTTCAGTTGTGTTTTGTCTGTTCAAGAACACCCAACAAATTTAACCTTTTGTGTAAAAACTCAACTAACTTACACTTTTGTTCAATTCTCATTAGGGTCAACCGGCTAATGAAAGTCAACGAATGACATGGCTTACGACGTGGAACTAAATATCGGTAAAATGACTTGTAAGACCAACGAAGTTTTGAAAACGTTCAAAAAAACCTCCCAATCATCTTTTGTCTGCTCAAAAAAACCCAACGAACTTAACCTTTTGTCTAAGAAAACCCAATGAACTTAAGCTTTTGTTCAGTTCTCATTAGAGGCAACCAGATTCATTAGGTATACAACTAGTTAGCAAATGACATGACATTATATTTAATGACATGGAATAAACAGATTAGAAGTGTCCTTTATATATCGATTTAGGGCTTGGATAAAAGAAAAACGAACGACGTCTATGTTCGATCTCTTGTAATGGCTACTTCTTCTTCTTCCCCTCAACCGTTGATGTCCAACTCAAGATCTACAAATAATATATTTAATGATGCAAACCCTTGTGGATGTGGACGCCCTTCTCGGATTTGGACATCTAGAATGGAGGATCATCCAGAGAAAAAAGTCAGGGCTTGTTCTAACAGATAGGTAAGTGTAATGACAAGTAAATGCACCTCAAGGTGCTGCCGAGGAACTGAAGGACCTTCTCGAGCACAGGATAGGGATGTCATTCAATTACAAGAACTTATAAGGACATGATAAGCTTTCAATTACACTTATTTTTCCTAGCTAAGTTCCTAGCTAAGGGATGTCATTCATGTTTGGCATATGTGATTAGTGTCACATAAAAGGAAAGAAATAAAGAAGAAAAATGTTTTGATGTGAAAGATATGATGGTGGGAAATGGCATTTCGTTCTATGTACAAACATTTTGAATTTTTTGTGATGTCGTTTGGTTTGAAAAATGCATCATCCGCATTAATAGACCTTGTGAATTGGGTTTACAAACCATTTCTTGACAACTTGATTATTGTGTTTTTTATGATATACTTGTCTACACAACGATCGAGAAGGAAGACAATAATCTTTAAGAGAAGTAGCAGCACTCGAAAGAGAAAGAACATAGGGTATAAATCTTGATATACTAAGGGAGACTGACTTGTAAGTACCCTATAGAGGACAAAGAGATATCTAAGTGATGATGTTCTGCGGGATTGCAATAGGTTCGATACTTTTATTGAACCCTCAATCGACATCAAGGCGATACATAGTATTTTGATGTACATGTTCGTATTTATACATTGCAAACATGTTGATAAAAAAATAATAAGAAAGGTCGCATCTTTTTTGGTTTTATCTCTTTAAAGGATTTTAACTTATTTCAGCTTATGACTTTTACTTGTACGGTATTTCTCGGATTTCAACTTATTTTAGCATTTAACTTTTATTTGTAATGATACCAAACACATGCTTTTGAAGGATGAATAAAGTTTTAAAGATGAAGGATGAATGAGTTTTGTTTTAAAATATATAAATGTTTTGCTTTATATGTATATTTATCATTTCTAACCAGGCTTAACATGTGTTGGACGAGAAGAAACCTTAGTACTTGCTACATGGGAAGAGGAAGTTTATAAGTAGCATAGACTTTATCGTATTGTCTTTGTTTGACTGGATATTCCCTCGTATATTTTTTAAAACAATGTTTTGATTGTTTTAAAACTTTTGATAAAGTTTTATTGGGACTTGTGCTATTTTATAAAGTTTTTAGTAACTTTAATGGTCTTCGATTTTGATCATTACGAGCATTTTGGGTCGTCGAGTTTGCTCATTTTATCTATAAAGATCCTTTCTTGAATCATCCAATAAAATAGACATGTGTGAGGCTTATATCATATTATGTCATGTCCTAGTTAAATCTATTCAATCAAAATAAATAAATAAACTATCCTCTCAAAATAGCTCTTTTACTTCGCAGAGAAGGAATGTGTAATCTTTTACTTTGCAACTGCAACCAGTTGCATAAAGGCACCACAAACTAGTTCCCTGTCATACATACATTATAAAAAATGTGCTAAAAGTTTTTTCTTTCTTTACTATTAAAATCTAATTAAAAAGATGATCCAATTCTCTCTCACCTTTAGTGTGTGTGTGTATGTATGACAAAGTTTCACACAGTTGTAAACATATTCCATCGTTTTGCTATATCATTTAAAGCATATATATATATATATATATATATATATATATATATATATATATATATATATATATATTATAATATGATAACATTGTTAGTAAAATAGACTACTTCCAACTAGAATAAAAGCCTCCATATGTACAAATATCGAATCATTTCCTATTTACATGCATGAATTTTACATTCACAATTTTTTCTTTTTTTTTTATAATATAAATTTTCCCCAATCTTTCCAACAACCACTTTACTTAGTTGACCTTGACCCCAACGAAGTATCTGAACGTGAGTAAATGACCATTATACCCTTCTCAAAAAGAAATATCAACTTACTTCTTTGTTGCATCAATAAACATGGCTCGAGTCCAATGTTCAACATCTTCAGTGTGGGATGGAGGAGGAGGCAAAGTAGGATGCTCCACCAGATCCCACCCTTCTGTAAGTGTTTCTTTTTTCCCTCCATTCTGGTTGTGGGCCCCAGTAATCATATCATTAGCATAAAGATAACTAGAAGCAGAGCTCGAAAGACTTTTATCATGTGTACTTCTCTACATATCAAAATAAGAATTAGCAACCATTACTATTTATAAAAACTTGAATTTATAGATTAAAAATATATATATATACCATAGAAGATGAAGTATGTGTGCTTTCAAGTAAAGTAGTTGATGAGATAGCTGAATTCACATTCCATACAGAATAATTTAACTGCTGAACTTGTTTAGATGATCTAACAAAAAATATTTGTTAGGAAGGAGTAAAAATGTAAGTTGAAGAAAAAACAAAGGACTAAAGACGTACATACCTTGAACAAGCCATTTTCAAGGAAACAGCAGTTCTAACTTCTTTAGAGGAAGAAAGCATGGCTAACAATTTAGCAAAAGCTTCAAAAGTAGAAGCATCAGGAGGAACTTCAAGGCATAAAGAGTTGTAACAATAAGCAGTTACACAGGCGACACTTTTTTTCAAAAGTGAAATTCCTTTTTGCAAATCCATGTGTGTTTCAAGGGAATGAGGAGATGCTGAGGTGTAACTGAAGCTACTAGAAGATTCCAAACGAGCCTTCTTTTCTGATTCCATTGAAGCAACACCAAAATTACTTGAACTTTTGTCTGACCATGATGTTTCTACACCCGTTGTGCAAAAGTTTTGTCTAGGGATGAAAAGTGGATACTCATTGCTGCATAACAAAATAGCAACCTACTTTCATTCATTTCTTTATTAATTATTATAATTTATATTTTATAGCATCCTACTTTCATTTCTTCCTATTATTGATTTTTCAAAGTATTGATTTTATGAAACAAATTATTTAAATTGTTTTCAAGTTGCTAATGAACCCGATTTATTGTGTAAAAAGGTAAGGAACTTATGTTTCATTTACGTATTTACACTTTTGGCCCAAGTTTTCAAATTTGTTACAAATTTGGTCGGATCTTTTTTTTACAGATTCGCCACAAACTTCTTTTCTTAAATTTAGTTTTTTTTTCAAATTAAAAAAATAAATAAAAAAAAATTAAGACTTTTTTGCACAAACTTCTTTTACACACTTTTTACAAATTGTTTCGCTTTCACAATCTTTTTATAAAAAAATACAACTTTTTTATATTTTTTAACAACCTTAAAAAAAACAAATTATACAACCTTTTTAAACATTATTAACTCTTTTTTCACTTATGTTGTAAAAAAAAGTTTCAGAAATCGTGTAAACAAAGTTTAAAAAAGTTAAAAAGGTTGTCTATAAAAAAAGTTTTGAAAAAACTGGGACTATTTTGTAAAAGAAAAAAGTTCGGACCAAATTTGTAACAAAATTTAAAACTTGGGCCAAAAGTGAAAATACGTACATTTGAATAGTTTGTTTCATAAAATCTGTGATAACCCAAAAGAAAACTGAAAGTAGAATGGTGGTAATTGACAAAAATGAAAGTAGGATAATGGAATGGAATCACTCATTCCATTCCTTTGTCCAATACCTTCTAGAGGAAGGACGTGCATCCCAATAAGAATCGCGTTGCCATATACGGGAGCATGAACCCTGCATCAAAAATTGATACCGGAATATAATCACTCATTCCATTCCTTTGTCCAATTCCATTCCATCATACATAATATAAACAAAAGGTGATGAGAAAAGAAATTACCGCAAAACCTGAGTTATGAAGTGCAGGAGCACCAACATTGTGAACAATCAGATTAAGAAGCTGCACCATATATCTGTTGCATTTAATAAAAATAATAAAATTAAAAAAGATAATTCAATATATATATCATAATTTAATAAAATTCCAAACCCTAAAGAAGCAGCAAGCTCATCTGAAGGGACAGAATGTGGATCAAGTCCCCTTGGTAATTTTGCATTGCAAATTTGATCATATTGTCCACTCAATCCATCTTTTCTCTCTCCATCTATATTTACCTGCAACCATTGAATATTTACAAATTTGCCCTCCATCATTTAATGGGAAACAAGTGAGAAATATGTACCTTGCGTTGTGGAAACAATTTGCATATTTGTTTGATAACAACAGATTGTTTATGAAGGCGTTCTGATGTAATTGCCATCTGTATGTAATATATAGAAAATAATAATAATAATAATAATTTTGAAAGAAATTGAAGGAAGTAAATTTAATAATTCTTACATGACCAAGGCTTTGAGTGCATATAAGATTAGGATAATATTTTTCCAGTTGCTCTTTTCTGTTCTTTTCCAACTGTAAATGGAAAGATAGATGATTAAATTCTCCTTCAGTGTCTTAAATAAAAGAGCTAAATGCACAATTATGCAACAATGTTTCACTTTTTTCCTAACTTAAGCAACAAATTGCATAAAATGAGAAAAAGGTGAAACATTTTGCATAAATGTGCATTTAACCTAAAAAGAAAATAAAAAAACTAAGAGATTTTTATACCACATCCATGGCTGATTCAAGCAATTCATATCTGACTTTTAAGTCAGAAGTTGTCTTTTCAACTTTGGCTTTATCTGTAAAGCACAAATTAAGTATAAAATGATCAATGATTTAATAATTAACAATATCACTTGCACATATTAACTACAGGCATATTATAAAATCTAACCTTTTGAAAGTTGTTCTTTACGAAAATGGAGTTTCTCTCTCAATGTGGCAAGTTTCTCATGTTGAAGGATTCTCCAGCTAATTTGATCATCTGCCTTACTCTGAAAAAACAGAGTTGGAAAATTAACTCATTTTTTAGCAGCAACAAATAAAGGGAAAACAGTATGTAAAAGAGTATGAAGAAATCAAACAAGTAGAGAGAAACATAAAAAGCAAATTAATCAGAAAAACAAGTTCTGGGGTTGATTAAACCTTTGCAACAAGAACTTCACTCAATTTTGAGTATAAAGAATCTCGACGACTCTTTAATGATGTCAAATTTGTGCCATATGAATTCACCCTGTATAAAGGAGATACCAATTCAAGTTTCAAAATTCAAATGTAAATCCACTTAGGGAACAAATGGAGTACAAATTGATGCCTGTTTGAGCTGAATTGCTAAATTAAAACACTACAAAATACTAAAAAAAATCGTAAATTTTACCTGTAATTGACACAAACCGTACAAATAGAAGCAAGATTCGAGTTCTCGCAGAAAGCGCAAGTAGAGGATTTCCTAGTCATCGTCCTTGAATTCTGAAACCCTAAAAAAAAAATTTACGCAATGACCAATATCAAGCTAACGGATTACAACAATCACTATACAGAATTATTTGAATAATATAAACAACGAATGCAGATATTCCAATTGAAATTGTTGAGAAGAGCTACCAGATACGTTACCCCAAAAATCGAACAAGAACACCGCCCCCCTTTAACTTTCTACAGAGTTGATCATGTAGGGTTTTGCTATCGAAGACGAAATTGCTGAATACATGCGATTTATACGCTGTAGAATTACAAGTAAACGAGTCTTGATCTAGGAATTTCGAACATTTTCAATTTTTATAGTGGTCGATAATCGGATTTGGGTGTTACTTTACGTGAAAGATGTATATGAATTGATATATACGAGTCATATCCAAGACTAAAACGACCAAATATGGTTTAATATTGTTGTATAACTAAACCAAAACATTATGAGACCCCTCGAGTAAGTTACACTATTTTTTTCTTTTTTTGTCAAACGACTAAGGTTAAAGAAACTATTAAAATGTATAAGTATATAGGATACGAAATCAAAAAGAGTTACCTAAGTTGGTGAAATTTGAAAGTATAGATATTATGTTGAAATAATAGGTAATATTTATCAAAATGACCACATTTTGTAAAGATATATCATAAATAACCACATTTTTAGAAAACTATAAATCACCGTAAAAATTAAATTTTTCGAACTCCATTATGATTTTTAATGTCTGTTTTTTCTTACAAAAAGCAAGTTCGAATATTGTTTTTCTGAATTTTCGAAATTAAATTGTGATTTTTAGACATTGTTTTCGGAAAACGGGGTTTGAAATTTTCAACTTTAAGTAGTTTTTTGATTTATCTGATGTGTTTTTGTAATAAAAATGTACAACTTGTTTCAACTTCCAATTTTTCCGGATGTCATGGAAGGCAATATATCAGTTTGGAATGTCATATAATTGTTTTACAGTATACAAATCATTTTAGTGTAAAATATACATTTAGGGGGAAAAAATTATCTCAACTAAGTTATCATTAAAACAAGAGTTGTCATCAGGTGAACAATTTGGTCACATGGGAGTTGCAAGCCAATGAAGTCCAACATATATTCGGAATAACTGTCTCAAGAACGAGTGAAACTTGATCTTAATGATAGAGTAGTCTTAAATAGAGCCTTGTGGGTCGATTTGTACATATGATTTGGCTAGGAGTTGGAAGAAGACATAAAGGTCACAAAAAAATAATAATAATAATAATAAAACTCGTTAAGTGTCTTGAAACTTGTCGAGGTGATAACAAAATTACCAAAGATTTAGGAATTTATACTTACTTCTTGGTTTGATCACATATGGTGAAAGTGTGTTAGAGACTATTTTTCACATGAGTTGTTATCTTTCAAAAAGTAAATATTTATTTCCAAGTTTTTGAAGAAATTGTTATTAAACAAATTAGCATCCTTATAAGGAAATCATTTCAACATATACACAATCCTTTCGAGATTGTGATATGAATGCATTGATTTCAACAATTTATTATGCATTTTGTGAAGTATTTATAATATTTCTACAATGATTTCATATAATTAAAGAATTTGGTATCAAATAACACATAAGTTACATATAACTAACATATACTTCTTAATTTAATAATATCATAGTTTTAATAAAGTTCCATACAAAGTACATATTTTTTATAAATTTATGTTGTCTAAAGAATTAGGAATTGATATATTCCTTTCTCATCGATGACAATTCACATGAAATAGTAGTCATCTACATACTTTCACCTAAGTAATCCTTAAACCAACAGATACATGAAACATTCTTAGTTTTCGGAATAGCATATGTTGGCGAATTTATCTAAGTCCAATATGGCTAGCCGACATGTTTGGATCACATCACATTACCTTGGAGTGTTGTCCAAGGTTTTCAAGTCTTCCTTGAGCCATAAGGAATGCTTTTGCATGGAAAGTATTGTTTGGTTATATTTAGGAATTCTAGTTTAATACTAATAAGTTTTGTTAAGTACAAATATGATAGATTCATGTGCAGGCCCGTCCCAGAGGGGGGCAATCGTCCAGGGTCCATCTTTTAAAGGGGCCTAAATTTTTTATGGAAATTGTTATATTTAAAATATAGTACATATATTATTGAGTTATTATAAAAAAACTTGATGACATTTATGTATTTTAAGGGCCCATCTTTTTCTCTCGCCCTGGGCCCAAAATATGTTTAGAACGGCCATGTTCATGTTATAAGATTTAGAGATTGAAGCTTTGAGTGATTTTTCTTCAATAAAGATTCCAGCGAGTTTTAGGTTGCATATTTTTTCTGATTTTGTGTTTCTTCTTTAGCATGTTCAGGGACACCTCACAAGCTTTTTCATTTAATCAATGAATAAAAAAAATCCTTCGCTAGATGTCCTACCAGCACCGACATCAAGGTTGAACAGAGGATGACGACAAACAGTGTGTTTCTAACTTCAAATCTCATGGTTGGTGGAAATAAGGTTTCAAGTAGTAAACATGTTCACTCTTCTTAATTTGATGATCGTTAGAATATGAAAAAACTGAAAATTTTGATAACTAAAATATTAATGACATGTCAAATCTTCACGAGTCTTGAACTTGTTCTTGAAGTTTCGAACATATTTTTCAAATTTCTTCAAAGTTGTCCGTGTAGTACATATTATTTTCGAATAAGTTCTTCCCCTTTATTTTGGAAATATGTTTCTCTTTTTCTTTGAATAAATGGTCTTTCTTGTTAATTTCAAACAAGTTTTCACTATTATTTTCTTGAACATATTCCTCCTTGGTTATAACTTTCAAACATGAAAAACTTTCAAAAACATATTAAAATAGGAGAAATGCTTACTTCCATGTGCAAATAGTTCAAATAAAAACATTCTCCAAATGTTTTTACAATTTTCAAACATGTTCTTAGCGTGGGAAGACATTTACAAAGAACAACAAAAAGAAGTTTCAAATAACATTCATGTTTTTTTTTCTAGAAAAGATGGTTATTTTGTGATACTCAAATACAGAGAGTGGCAATACTACTGTATAATATGCACTTTCCAGATCATATAAACACCAGAAACAAAGTAACACCATAACCATGTTTACAATATTCAAAAATTTATTTCATTTTTTTAGTGTCTTCTATCAGGTTTACATGAATTTATCTCGTATCAACTTTTCAATTTCTTCCATTTTTTGAATGATTTTAGGGTTCATAAGATCCCGAGCTTCCTTTACAAGTGTCCCTTCTCTACTAAAATGGTAAGCATTCACCACAGCCTTAATCCAAGTATGTAGTTTTTCAGGTGTCCTACAAAACCATATAATAACAAAATTTTGAACATATTAAAATCAGCATCCAACTATTTTTCCCTATGTTTACATTGTGTGATAAACTCATAAATGTGATAAAGACTAGGTTACATACGTATATAAGTTATCGAAATCCTGTCCTTCAAGCTCATCACCAGGGGTAAAAGCGTCATTTAGCGCACATAACAACCTTTCGGGATCTTCAATAGTAAGAAGATATTTAACAATTCGGACCTCTTTTGGCATAAGTCTTTGAAGATTACCTCTTGCTGTCATGTACAAATGATACAATATGTCTTTTACCTGTCATAAGTCATATGATTCAAAAATGGTTCATTCAATTCCATTCCAGTAGGAATTACTGATTCCAATTCCATTCCTTCCCCAATTCCATCATTTCAAATTAACCACTTACCTCATCTTTCATCATGTTTGTCTCCTTTGCAGCTGACCAAGCTTTTGTAATCATTAAAACCAAAGCTGAATCCAATTGATTTTTTTCAGCTAAATTATCAATCTTCCTACAAGCAGCATCAACAGAAGGAGAATTTATAATATCTTGAAATTTTAATTCTGCAGCATTAATTGCTTCAATGCTTTCTGTTGCAGTATCATAAGCTTCTACAGCAGCCAAACATGTGTTCCCAACTTTTGCAATCACTAATCATAACAAAAATAAATAATTTTTTTTATTAGCAAATAGCAACAACACAAATAAGCAAAAAAAAAATGTGGATCGAGTTTCTCACCATTTTGTTCTCCCTCATTATCATGATAAGATTCTGCAACTGCATGAAGATGCATAAAGAATTCTTTTGTGAAATCTTTTCGTCTCTTAGCAACAATATTACCAATTTCAGAAGGCGAATTTTTAACAACTTGTAGAAGTTCATTATGTCTTTGCACATCTTCATCAACCTGTACATAGTTTAAAACAAGTGTTACACAGTTGGTAAAATGTCATATATACCCTTCAAATATGAAATACCTCTTTCAACTTTCTTCCAAGTCGAAATAGCTTGTGCTTCATTCCAGGGTCATCTTCTTTATCTGCTCGATCTTGACATCTTTCAAAGAAATGAGGTCGGATGGTTTCCCATTCCTTGCTAAAAGCTAACAACCTTCTCCAATCAACAGGGTTAGGTTTGTCAACCATGAAAACTTCAATCAATTTGTCACAAATTCGAATCATTTTAGGGTCACCAGAATCATTGACATTCTCTTCACCAATTTCAGATGTAGATTTCATGGTAGAATCGTTTGGTACAGCAGTTGCATGATTTGCATCACCGACAACAGCTTCAACTGTAAAGTTAGATGGTTGCAACCTTTGCGAAGTCAACTTAAGACCTGTAAAGTTAGGGTTTAGGGTTTTTCTCAGTAAATATCAGAATCATAATCCCAAACATCCAAACATCTATAAATTTCTTGTTGCTGTTGTTGTCGCACTGTAATTCTATGAGCGAAATATGCATCCTACTTGGTCAAAGTACTAATTGCTTCTGGTTTTCAACATTATTTTCATGAATTGAAAAGTTTTCGCACAAAAATGTCAATAACTTCGTTGAAATCGTTAAGTTACTAGAGATCGAGAAAGTTCTGTTGATAAAAACTAGTGATGAAATTAATTTGAAAAAAATTCAATTTCTGATATTTTATTTTTAAGATTCCAATTTCCGAATTCGTCAAGAGAGCTGAGTAGGTAAACAAAATACATGTTTCAGATATAGGAAACAATGAAAGGCGGTTGAAACTTACTAAGCCGAAAAGATGATTTTCTGTTTGAAATTCTGATGAAAGAGGAAGAACATTCTTTGGAGGTAGAAGTGGATTGTTTGCAGGTGAAGGAGCAGTATGAACTGAGAGACGGGGATGATAGTAATTCCATTAATGAGTTCGGATTAGGGTTTCAAGAGAGAAAGCAGAGACGATAGTGAGGAATGGAGACGAAGAGAAACAGAGTCGTGAGGTTTTGGGTGAAAATGAGATTTAGATTGCCTTTCAAAACTATTTTTTGTCATCTTTTTAGTTTTTTTTTTTTTTTTTACAACTCTTTTTGTGTGTTTTTTAAATTTAGGGTTATATTAAAAAAAAATCAACAAACAATAGTAAATGAATAGTATTTAGGATATATTTTATTTATATTCGATATATCATTAAAAAAATTAGTTTCTCATTACACCAATTTCAACATGATAAAATGGTATTGAATTTTATGCGTCGATGTTCATGTCATTCAATATAACAAAACCAGATGATCTAAATCTATCATGCATCGATATTAAGTGTTGAGTAACATCCAACGTGACCGAATTATCCGATTAGAATGCATTCTAATAAGATACTTAGAACACATGCATGTTGAATACAATTAAAAAAGTTTAGTGGCATGTTAAATACTATTAAAAGATAAGTAAGGAGCAAATTACTTAATATTGATTGTTATTTTATGGCATTTACCCTTAAATTGATCATGTTGTGTTTGTAACATAACATTTATTGTATCTATATTGTAAATTGGACTAATGCCATAAAATGACAAGTAACAATATTAAATTTTCGCTTTAGATTACTTATCTTATAATTGTATTAAATATGTCACTATTTTTTAGTTCACATTAGAGGGCGTATTTTAATTGTATTCAATAGGTCACTATTTTCTTTTTGGGTTCACATTAGAAGTCATTTCAAGGAGATAATTATGTCATATCGGAAGCTATAATAACCAAGGTTCTAAATAACGTGAGACGTGACTTGGCGGCAATGTAAAAGTTAAGTCATGACAAGCCTTGGCGAGTCATGACGTTTTACAAGGCGTGACTATTTTCTACATATTACAATAGATAAATCATATAATTATTGATTTTTATCAAGTATATCAAGTTTTAAGAAGTGTTATATTAGTATTTAATATAAAAAATTAACAAAAACTCAATTATTTTAGGCCCGATAAAAAAACAAAAAACAAAAAAACTCGCGCCATATTGCGATAAGGCGCGCCTTGACACGTTATTTGGGCGTCGAGCTTAACAAACCCGCATTTGATGTTTTCGTAACGGCTACACCACGCCTCACGCCATGGCACGCCTTGAAGCACGCCATGACGTGTTTTTTAGAACCATGATAATAACACAATGTCAAAGCTAAATATACATATATGTCATATTTTAATGTCACAATTGACATGAAGTGTGATTAAATATAGAGATAACGACTTAAAAAGGTAAATATATTTTGATTTATACACATTTTGGTCACTGAGTTTTTTTATCAACATTTCCCCTTCAACATGTTTAACTATATATATTCAGTCCTTATGACCGGCTACTTCAGGTAAATCGGAAAAATAACTTAATAGGGTAATATATTTCTCAATTTGTACACATTTAGTCCTTATTTTTTTTGCACATTTAGTCCTTAATATTTTTTTTGTTGCAAAATAAAGCATTGTTGTTTTTGTACATATTCAGTACTTATGACCGGTTTATTAGGTTTTTCCTCATGACATCTTATGGAACAATCATTAATGAGGTGTTCTAGGTTGTTGATGTTTATGACCACTGGGACCTCAGCTGCTTAGTTGTTTATGTTTTGTGTTTCGCTTAGATCTTGTGTTCTGAACGGCTTAACTTCTTTATACGATCTTAAATTGTAACGATATTTATACCCACACGTTCGTATTTGAGTCTACAACAACTTTTGTTTAGATTACTCCAAGTTAAAAAGTAGTATATTTTTATTTATGACCTTTATACACATGCGTTCTTTATGAATATATATATGATTTTTTTATAAAATCGTAAATAAAAATATATTACTTTTTAATGGGAATAATCTAAGCACTTGGTTGCTTAGATCTTGTGATTTGGCTTAAAAGAGTATTCCGAACATCGTAACATTTTCATATGATCTTAGATTTTAACGATCTTTATATTCACGCGTTCATATTTAAGTCTACTACAACTTTCGTGTAGATTACTCTCGTTAAAAAGTAATATATTTTTATATACGATATTTATATACATGCGTTCTTTATGAATTATGTATTAACGTTTTTTTATAAAATCGTAAGTAAAAATATATTACTTTCTAACGAAAGTAATCTAAACGAAAATTATAGTAGACTCAAATACAAACGCGTAGATATAAAGATAAACGAAAATTATAGTAGACTCAAATACAAACGCGTAGATATAAAGATTATTAAAATCTGAGATCGTATGAAGAGATTACGACGTTCAAAACACAAGACCTAAGCACCAAGCAATCGAGGTCGTAGTGGTCATAAGCATAAACAACCCTAAACACCTCATTAATGATTGTCCCACGTTTGATATCGTGAGAAAAACTTAAAGAAACCATTTCATTTGTCGGTAAATCTAGAGGGTCATTTTAATTTATGATGTATATAAGAAGCATTCTTTATTTGTATTAATTCTTATATAAGTATCTTTAACAACCAAACAATCAAACCACGAATATGATATAAGACAAATTAAAAACAAATGATTGAAATTTCTTATCTTTTTAACATCTTCTTTTCAATCTACAAAGCTTCTATACCGATTCATATACCAACATAAAATCATATTTTCCTTTTCTTTTTCCCTTTCTGATTTTGAGAAAAAGATTTAAGAAAATTTGTAATGATCAAAATATAATAAACCCTCCAAGATCCTTTCATCTGAAAGCTCAAGAAAATCGATGTATAAACTTCACAGAATCATGCATGAACAACTGCTCGTTTTGGGGGAGCCATCCTGCAACTTTTCTGTTGAAAATTCAAAGAAAAAAGTGTTAGAAATGTTGGTGTGTTGACTACTACAAACTTGGTTTGACTTTTGAGGTCAAATAGAACAAAAAAGTTGAAATTCGAAACTTAAATGAACTTGTTATAATCGTCTACGTATAATAGAAATTGTGTGTGTGTTCAAAATTACAACAACTAATAACAAATCTTACATTGTTCTTTCGTGCATTGAAACCATAAAAATTTAACAATCTTTTATAACCACAAACAAGCAATCTTAAAGCAAATAAATCATCAAAGCTCCCAAAGATACTTTACATTATATGTAACAAATGCTATATGAAATGAATTTAAAAGATTTACTAAATTTGTGAAGGATTTTTTACCACTTTTTTTATCGGCCATTGGAGGGCGCATAACAATATGCATAGTGATGACACCTCCTGGGATTTCGCTAACATGAGATCTTGATTCAGCAAGAGTTTTGTTGTTTTCAAGAATCTTTCCCGCATTTATAAGCTTCACATCATTTATTGTTTTAGGCGCGTTTTCTTTTTCTGTCAAAAAAAAAAAAAAAAACACATAAACGATTGAATATCAAGAAACGATTATCATCATTTCCTTTCATCACATAAAATTTTTTGCTTTTTGAGCAATTTTCAAGCTAATATCACTAAAGGTCTTGTTTTTCAATGTATTAGTAATAGTGTAATACTATGGAATTCACGACATATAATACTACATAGCATATAAAGTTAAATTTTCAGTTTCCTGTGAAATTGTATGAGTGTGAGATTTTCAATCTTAACACAACAAACATTGACCAATAATCAAAACGTTTTTTTAAACAGTAAAAGTTGGATGTTGCGATTGTGTAAGATCGATCCTAAATTAAGTCGTGAAAATGAAATTAGGAGATAATCATTAACGTGTAAAATTTCTTGAACAAAAATAATTGGCACATATCTAGTAATCCCATTTCGGTTTTGGATAACTAGTTTATGCAATCAATTCAAAATCTTTCTTTCTCCAAATTCATAAACTTTCAACAAAAATAATCTAAATTAAGGATTAATATAGAAAGTAGAAACCTCATAAGCCAAATTATACAATAACCGACTTGAAAATATGTGATTAGAGTAAATTTCCATTAGTAAAAAAACGAGGATAAAATTCAAGATTTATAAGCAATCAAGGCTCCACTAATACGACAACCAGTAGTAGATGCAACTTTTAAAGCGAAACCCCAACAAGATAACGCGAAAACAAAATTAGAAATTCTCATGAAAAATCAAGAAACTTGATAATATATTGATCAAGATGATGATATTGAACTAACCTTTGGGCCATTGTGAAATAATTTTCTCTTTTAGAGATCCGACAGTTGTAACAGAGCTGTATTTGCTAGGTCCGATATCGCTACCATCAGCTAACCTAAATTTGACATCAATCAGTTCGTCAGCCGCCATTGATGAACACCTCAGATTATCATAACCCAGTTCGAATTATTCAAAAAGAATTGGAAAGACTGTCTTTTTCAAGTGGGTAAAGTTAAAACCCAAGATTTGGTACTAAAAATCAATCATACTAATTAAAAAGAGATGAGAAATCAATGGATCGACAACAATTTTTGTGGGTTTCAATAGATTTGAAGATAAGGAATCGAACAAGAAGAAGAAGAAGAAGAAGAAGGAGTTGAATTAAAAGGGAATGAATGAGAAGGTTTCTTGAATGGAGAAAGAATAAATTTGTGCGAAATGGGAAATTTATGAATGATAAGATTGGAATTTGGAATTTGGAGCGATGGTGGGATCTTTTTCTTTACCAATGAAGAGGTGTCGACATGCCATGAGACAAGGCCACGGACTTCTTTTTAAGAGTTGGCTCATTAAAATGAGCAAAATGGAAAGGTATTACTTGTAAAATGTTATTTTAAGCAACTATTTTACAACTTATTATTATCGATAAAAGTTTCATTTCTTAATTATTTTACAATATAATAATTTTTTTACATAAATTTTTTTACAAACTACGAATAATTTTGAATTTTTTTATTCTTTTATTCAAAATAGTCATTCATTTTATTTATTTGTTGCAAAAAATTTCATATTTTTACTAAATATTAATAAATCCGTAAATATTATATTTTTTGTTAAAATATCATCGAACAAAATTTATAAATTATTGTATTCTTATAAATATCATTAATATAAACCAATATAGAACCAGCCACTTGGTAGAGATTTTGTCTCTTAGATTGAAAGTTTCGAATTATAATTCATTTATTGACGATTTCGTGATATTAACTTCTAAGTTCTAACTACTAACCCCATCCTTAATAAAAAAAATTGTATTATAAAATAAATGGTGGTTATATAATAGACTAATAAAAAATTGTATTATAAAATGAATGGTTGTTATATAATAGACTAATAGTTTCTAATATATATATATATATATATATATATATATATATATATATATATATATATATATATAGCGTTGTTGTAACACTTCTACCTTGAGCATTTTAGTATAGTTTTTTTTATTGCTTTAATTTCTAATACAAATTACGTGTAGTAATATTGTGAATTTGGTAAATATTTTAATATTATAGAATAATTTATGTTTTTTAAACAAAAATATTGTTTAAAAAAACATAACTGGCAACCTTTTTAGGAAATAGAAACCTTTATATTTTTCTTAATTTTTTGTTCCAAACAATTTAGCAAGTTTTCGATAAGAATAATTGTCAATTTTTTCAAAAAAGAAAAACAAATGTAACTTCTTTTCCCAAAAAAAACCCTCTCATAATTGAAAAATAATTTTTTTGTTTCAATTTACTTTTATTTTAACTCATAATTTCCTTGACCATATTGTTGTTGATTATCTTGATGTAGGTTTGATTGTACTAGGGATGGCAATTTATGACACGACACGACAAAAATATACGACACGAAACGAAATTGGGATGAAACTAAAATTTGAATTCGTGTTCGTGTCGTGTTCGTGTTAGCTGTAAAAAACACGATGTCGTGTCGTGTCGTGTTCGTGTTCAAAATTCGACACGAAATTGACACGATTTAGTAGTTTTTTATCGTATTTTTCGTGTTTGTCGTGTTTATCGTGTTATATTTCATAAAGTATTCATCAAATAAACTAGATTTTAGTATATGTTATATTTGTCATGTCGTGTCGTGTTTGTCGTTTTTTAATTCGTTCGTTTTCGTGTTAGTTAAAAAAAACACGACATCGTGTCGTGTCGTGTTCGTGTTACAAAAAACCTTGTCATGTCGTGTCGTGTCAGACAGAAACACGAAACGATAGCACGATTTGCCACCCCTAGGTTGTACATTTGCTTGTTAATTTCGAAACCGAAGATTTTCGATCAACTAACTTGTATACATTGTATCACAACTTGTTTCATATTTGTTAATTTGGAGACCAACGGTTCTATGTTGTCTAATTTAAAGACAGGAGATTATGTGTTTTCTAATTGTAGGTTCTATGTCTACTAATTTGAAAATAATTTAGAATTCAATTATTGAGAAATTTCTTTACTTACTATTGCTATATGACTACGAATAAAAAGAAATTGAGTCCCACATAAATCTAGTATGATCATTATGGATCAAACCATTGAAATAATAACAAAAAATGTTAAATATTAAATTATTACTATAATATTAAATAATATATATCATTTTTTTGAAATAGATTAACATTTTAACATTTAGATATAATTGCTATTAATATTTATCTATTTTATTATAAATTTTAATGAACTTATGATTATATATATATATATATATATATATATATCAAAATTATTTTTTATGCAATTACCTAATCCGTATACTCCCTATCTAAGCCAAATATTCGATACTTCATAGGTTACCGATATAATATCGTATAACAATGTTTGTATCATTTAACATGAACACACATACACACACAACTAACTGCACCGCATCCACACATATCCATCTTCACCCACACTCATTCGATCGACCCTTATCCCTATACACCAACTGACCCCACATACCCACCCCACCCCATCCCCATTTACTTGTCTACACCCACCCTATGCTCCACATATCCATTTGAAAATGTTTATTTTTATGTTGAATTGTATATTAAAATTTTGTTTTAATTTATGTTCAAATGTGTTAAATATTGTACTGAAATAATAAATAATAGAAAATAAAAACTAACAGAAAACATACATCCAAAAAAACTAAAATAAATTTTGTACTCCTTTTCTCATTATTAAAATTAAAAGTAAGAAAGAACAAAAATCTACAACAAAATACACCCTTATTCTTACTTGGAGACCATTTTTCCTATCTTTCCACCCCGACAAAAGTTTCATCAAATTTGGTTACATCTTATTAAAATTATGGTTTATAAATAATTAAATATTATAAAAGGGCCATTTTGGTGTAGTTGTTTTCGTATTTAAAGATTTCGGTTAAGGAAATCCAAAATATCTTTGGGGTGATGACAAATTAGAAGCAATATCATGAATAAATTATAGTGACCGTGGATTTTGGATGGTGCAATATCTTGAATAAACTATAATGACCATGGGTTTTGGATGGTTGACAAGGTTCAGTCAATGATTTTTCTAATGTATATGTTAATCTAATTATTAATTCAAAGTTGCAACTTGCAACCATTGAGCCGGCATTTGTTTTCTTCAACTCTCAACACACCTTGTTTTGTCAAAATATACTACAAGAATACTTTTTGGCAATGTTTTAAAAACCGGTTTTTTAGTTGAACTGGTATGGTGACCGGTTCTCGGTTTAACCGGTTCGACCGCCGGGTGAACCGGTTTCTATATTTTTCATGTTTTTTCTATTTTCCTACACATACAATACATATAGAAATTATGAATTTGATGTTTACAAGCTCAAACATTAAAAATACATATAAAAATAAGTTGTAGATGAATCCAAATACATTAAAATAACACATAACCATAAGTTTTAGTGTTTTACATCAATCCATATACGTCAAAAAGAAAATAAACTATAATACCGAAACGAAATATAGTTTTTGATGAATACAAAAACATCAAAAGAATTTATAACATTTACCATATGTTTTTATTTAGAGAAACTAATTAGATTTAAAAAAAATACCAAAGTTTATTATGTAAATGGTTTTTTTTTCATGTTTTTTATTCGGTTTAACCGGTTTATTTTGACCGGTTCAACCGGTTTTTTCTAAAAACCGGCCGGTTCAATCTGGTTCAGAAATCAATGTAAAACCGGTGATAGTTGAACCGTTCCCTCTCCCGATTCCCGGTCCAACCGGTTCGACCGGCCGGTTCAAACCGGTTTTTAAAACATTGGTTTTTGGTATAAGATTTGACAATTACTTTGATTTGTATGATAATTAGGATATGTTTAGCTGGCATGAATCTATTTGAAGTAGGAAAAATTGGAATCTAATTCCACCCATTTCTCATGTTTGATTCAAGTTTTTAAAAGTAATTATAATCCTAAATGAGTTCGATTTTCCATCAATTTAGAGAAAATATTTGTACTCCTAAGAGGAACATGAGTAAGATTGAGAAAACTGAACGGAAAAAACAAACATTAACATTAAGTTAGTTCATACTACTCCACTATCCTATATTAAAACTTTCATACTCTGGTATATAAGGTAATATCATAGTAAAAGTTAACTTTTTCAAGTCTAACATCAAACTATCTTATCACTTTTTTTAAAGGCGTCATCTCTTCCTCGCACCTTCGATGGTGACATCCTTCGTCCGCCTAACCATAGTCGTCAGTTGTCTACTCTCCTTTGTTTATAAACCACCACCAACTTCTTTTACTGAACTTCTGAACACTCACAATGAATTCATGATTATTGTGTACGATATCATGTCCAATAATGGCAGATCATATGTCCAGTGCAACATCCCTACTTCCATGATCATCATCTTCATCACATCTCCTTAATCGGAAAAACATTCAAATTCATACTATAAAATTGACGTTACAATCATCTTATAAAATTTACGATTTAAAAACTATCGATATTTAACATTAAAAACAAAACAATGGAGATTTTGTGGTATGTTATATCAATATATATATCTATACTACATAATAAATAAAAATAACTTGTGTCACATGTCATTTTTCTAGAGTATTAGTTCAAAATTTTATCTTTTATTCTCATGTTGACACGTGGCAGCCTCACATGTTTTTCTCTATTAATTCAGTTTTTTAAATTCAAATAAATCATATATTTGTACCTTGACTTGAGCTTCTCGCTTAAGTTCTTTTTTGTGCTAATATATATTTTGCTCGCCATTTAAAAATAAATAAATCAAGATATGTATTAAATTTGAAATTTGAATTAAGTTATGAGATTTCCTAATATATATACAAATACAACGAGATCTCCTAATATATACAAAAAAACACTTATACACCTATTTAGAATATTTATTTTATTATTATATCTAAAATTTATAAATTTTATTTTATTGACATATATTATGAGAAAATGGTAAATAATCTTAAATCTATTCTAATAATTAAAAATCTTTTTTACTACATGTCACACTCTCATCCATTTTGCTACATATAGTTTTTGTGGCTATAAAATTGATTTCCATTTTGCTACATATAGTTTTGTGGCTATAAAATTAATTTTTTTTTATAAACTCATGGTTTTCACGGGTCTCTAACCTTGTGTGTGTGTATATATATATATATATATATATATATATAAACAAATAATATATTCTATTTTCTAAAGTGGACATTGATAAATAGAAAAGCATAATAAAATTTTTGAACATAAAATTGGGACCAGTCAACCAAATATATATTCAAAAAAAATAAGAAATAGGACTTGGTAACAAATGGGCATCGTGTCTCTTTAATAATTGATTTCATTTCAATGGTTGTTCCTGTTTGGTGGGCTTCCATAATCATCCATTATTATAACCACTCTCTTTTTTATATGTATTTAAAAAAGTACTTTCAGAAATAAGTAAAAGACCAACTTACATTTCTTTTGTACATGCTAAATGAATTTTCAACACATACAATAGCGACTTACATTCACAAATGTTTTATTTTATGTCATGTACTGTTGTATACTGTAGATCTTTGAACTTGAAGAACATGTTTCAGTCTACATAAGTAAATTTGACAGTTAAATATCTACATGTGACATGTCAAATAATATTTATGTCCATTTGTTTTTTCAAAAGCAATCAAGTAGTATTGTACTTTTTGATTTTTCACATTCAGGTCACTTTTTTTTGTCAAAATTGTCGGTGTGTAAGCATGGCAACGAGGGCAACCCTCCATGGCTCGATAGGATTGGAGGCCCCAAATTAATGTCAATTGTTTATAAGGAGTTCATTAGCTTCACAAATGTATTGAATCATTAAAATATGATACACCAGTGGCGACAATTTCCCAAACAATTGAGCGAAGCGACCAAGCTGATGTGAAGCTCCTGATGGGACTGCGACTCTATGTCTCTCACACTCTGAGTATTTTGATTTTTGATTGTCTATTTTGTCAACTTATTTGATAATCCGTTTCTGACCCGTGTTCTGATTTCTAATTCCCTGAAGTTCTTCAAGTTCTAAATAATGATTTCTGAAATATGAAGTTTTAGAGTTCAGTCAACTAGTCAACTGAGACTAATTTCCCGATCTCTATGATTATATTCTCTCATTTCCGAGTCTGGATCTGAAGCTAAGTGAGGTATGTTAATCACTTAGTTTTTATTATCTCGTCTCTTAAGTTTTAGATGTTTCAAGTTAAGCTTAGTTTTGAGAAAGAATGAAAATATTGAAAAGGCAAAGACGATTTGGGAGAGACACCACGAGTATGATATGGATAGGATCATTTATGAAGGTTAGGTTAATTTCAACTTTTATTTCATTGGTATATAATTATTTATAGTTCCATTTTAATTTTGTGGTTTTCTTGATTTTTGTTGCATGATCACTTTCTAAAAAATAATGAATTTTATTAGTTTAAAGGGTATTAAGTGTTGTTCATTACACGGTTTTTGAATTTGGTATGATTCCAAGATTTTGTTTGATAGATGTTTTTTATTCAATTTTACAGACTATAAATTGCAATTCAATCTAGGTGTCCACAATTGGTTTTATAATTATGTTTTTGTTTTACGTATAAAGACAATGTGAAATGGTTCTTAAAATTAAGCTGTTCCAAATTTTTCGAAACCTATTTTGGCAATTGCATGTATACAAAAGCAAGCATCTTTGTGTGATGAAACTCATCTAATATGGTGAGACGTGTTCATAGAAAGGAGAGGATAAAAGCATCAAATAAATGTTTGGAAGATTGAAATGAAATCTTATAGGATCCATTTCGGTTATTCAGCTGCATTATTCTAATACAAATTTAAATCTTATCATACTTCAGTTTTAGTAATTTGATTATAATTATTTGTATTTTGAAAGGCCTCATATTTGTTTTAACCTCGAATCATTGCATTTCATATCATTACTCAATCGTTGTTTGTCACCGCTTCGTCATCAAGAGAAAGATTTGTTGCTTTTTTTAGAACGGCAATGAAATTAGAAACAAACTAGCAAGAAACTAGAACAAAATTACAAAAAGATCCGTTGCTTCTTAATTGCTAATTTTGATGCCCGGTAAGTTTCCAATTTGTTCCTTCCTTCACACCTCATGTAGAGACCCCGATCCTCATTCTCACAAACACATTGTTCTTCTATTTTTTTTTAAATTCGATTTCACTTAATTCAAGAACAATGAGGATTCTCTAAGGATTCTGTTAGTTATGTATCTTTACAACAAAAAAAAACTTGTATACATCAAAAACCTCAGGTTCAGGTGTTCAACGGAGGTAAATTCATTAAAAAGGGACAAATTTTATAAATGAAACAAAAACCGATAATATTGATAAGCCAGAAGTTTTCCATTTCGTTACACACACTTGAAAGATGAATGTGGATTCATGATAGTACTTCTAAATTTTCCATGGGACTGATGTAATGTAACTGTCATTGTAAGTGCAAGAAATTGTTTCCTGTGTTTATTTGGAAAAATTGACAAAATTGTTTTTTCTTAATACATTCTATGAACATAAGATTTTAATGCAACTAATTCATATTATACCACACATAGTATTGTATTATGGTTGGATTAATTTAATCAAAAGATTCTTATACTACAATGGCTGGATTAATTCAAGATTCACGACCACATATTCCTTGTTGCAAGATACAAAGAAAATAGTTGCTATAAAGTACTCTCCCATTCATTTGTAAAACACAAGGCAATCAAAATATTCCCTTGAATTTCATTATTTGGCGCAATAAGATTGAAAGGTCATGTAGATAGATAAAAAGTTTACTATAAAACATATTACTACTACACTAAACATCATTTTTACCATTTTAATTGGTTTTATTTTAAACATGTATTTAAACTCGTTAAAAATGGATTATGATGATCTAAATATTTAAAAGAAACACATCTTTCGAAAACTTTGATCATCAAGATAGATGTAAAATCACATAAGATATAAAGTATGAAACTAATTATCCAATTTCGATGGTTAGCCCACGAAATAAAATATTTTCCATTTAAGAGAAACACAAAATTAATAAATCTATAGAAAAAAAAACAACCAACCAAAACCTAATTGTTTCCATCAAGGCAATTTCAAATACGATGATACGACGAATCCATAAAAACAACCACAAGTTTCAAAAAAAAAAAAGATGGTAATATGACTCTCTACAAGTTGAGTAAAAGTAAAATGACACTAATAGCCCCCAATCACGACCAAAACATAACATCAAACTATGTCTCGAAAGCCAAAGCTCAAAATGCAAATCCACAATTAAGGGCATACTTAAAAACATGTAAAATCTCAAGTGCAACCACTAGAAGTTTGGGGTATAATATGTTGTTCATCCACGCTATTTATTCCAACTGATTCAACACAAAAAAAAAAAAAAAAAAGTTATTCCAATGCCACAAAAATACTATTATTATTCCACAACAAACATTTTAATCCTTTTCTTATCTAGCTTCAAATACAATAGATTCAATGCAAGAAATAGCAACATATAGAAAGAACGACCTAATTTTTTTACATATTGACCGTCTTACCCTCTCTTTTAGAAAAAAATCAACATATTATCTCCTATTACCTTCAATTTAGTAAGTAATGTTGGTAACACCTAAATTTCATTAATGATTGATTTCATTATATCAAACCAACCCTAAGAAAACTTTAAAGTTCAACATAGAACACACATTGCAAAAAAAAGACAAAAAAGAAGAAAGAAAATAAAGAAAAGAAAGAAAAGATACTAACCTTTTAAGGAAATTGTTGATCAGTGAACAAATATGGAGCTTAATAGACTGCTTGAAGAGTAGTACCCTGGTGCTGATTCTTGGCTCCACCCCCTTGCACCAGCATCTGATCATTCATTGATTGCTATTCATCAGAATCATAATTTTCTCCATCATCAGAAAGATCATCAAAAGAACGAATGTCAAGCTGATAACGAAGTATCCCACCAATTCCACCAAACCCTCTACAAAACTGTGAACCTTCTTGTGACTTGTTTGTCACAAACTCAAGTGTGCACCCAAATTTCTTATACTCATTAGCAAACCACTCCAGCAATGAAGTCTTTTCTTGAACTTCAAGTTCAGCATTTGTTTCAGGGTCCCTAAAGTTACTCTGATCAGCTTCTTGTTCCTTGTTCAGATGCTTTATGATGATTTCACTTGTAGCACTGTGTTTAAGAACGTATCGATTGATGTCAAGATTCTCCCACACAATCAGGATTTCAACAGCTCCCATCTCCAAAGATTTCAAAGTGTCTTCAACACCAAATACGTATTTACCAGTGTCTTGACTTATCTCTTCAAAGTACTTCCCAATCAAACGTTTTTCTTGGATGAACTTCACATTAGCAAGGATTTCAGAGGACAATTCGATAGCTTGATTGAAACCATTCTCTCCTCCATATGAAACATCAACCACGTTCAAGATTTTGGCTTGAAGACGAGGGTCAAACATGTCGGATTGACTCAACTCGGTTTTGAAATCAGCAGATCCAGCAAGGATAAGACCAGATACATTAGGTTGACTGGTGGCAGGGTTGATGTAGAACTGTGTTGCCAGCTCAGCTGTCTTTCTCACATAGTTATGACGTTTCTCCATTCGAAGACGTGCAAATCGAAGAGCAGATTGTCCTCCTCTCCCGTGTTTCTTTGGTAAATCAACTGTGAATTTGTGAAGAACTTCCCTTGTGTTGCCACTCAATGTCCCGAAAAGTGTCCCATTACCATCCATAACAATGAAACCAAACTTGTCATCAGATTCCAGGAGTTCACTTAAAGCTTCTGTATGGAACTTGTTATCACAGAGATAAAGGGAGGCGTTGATTGGTTTGAAAGGTTCAAAATCGATTGTAACCTTCTTCTCTTTTCCATCATCAGTGAGTATGGTTCCAGTGTAGAGAACAAGTCCATTTGGGGGAACTTTGTTGTACAGCTTAAGCCTCTGTTGAGCAGATGTTATGGCGCCTAAAACAGATTGACGATTCACTCTGCTCTTGATATTTGAAGCAGTTCCAAATTCATCACCAAGCATCTTTGTGACTCGAGAAATTTGATCCCGTGGAGGCATAATAAGAGAGATCATACTTGTACCATTGCCTCTTGCAGCTTCCAGTGCCTTGATAAGCTTCTTGATCTTCCATATCTCTATATTCTTATCGGTTTCTTGTCCATCCGACATCGTGACGAAATTATCTGCTAAAAGAAGCAAACAGATATCGATTATTGGCAAAATCGTTACAACGCTGCTTCAATTTATTCTAATCGAAGCCGTATCGCATATTAATAAAGGAGACACAGACCAGAATCCAGATCGATACATAACTTAATAACTACTACTAATTATGAACACGAATTCTAGTTAGTACCTTTGAAAACGAGCGATCTAACAACACGAGATTCGAGAAGAAAAGTACAATACGATGACTTAAGAAACTAAAGAATCCACAGAATATATGAAACTACGGTAAAAAACTTAACAAATTGCAAAATCAAAAGAGTAAAGCGTATGAAGTTTAATCAAACAGATGCAATAACAATTGCTACGGACTGAAACAGATCTGAGGGAGAGAGTTTTTACATGAAGAGGAAGAACGTCTGCGGCAGCTTGGACTGGAGTCGGTTTTTGGATTGTGGTTGAAACCCTAAGGAAAAGGTCAATTTATGTGGAAGAGGAATTCGCAAAATAAAAATAGGTAATAGTTATCCATTAGCACCCCCGAAGTCTTGAGATATTTTAAATTGGCACAATAGCATTGAATGAGAACAACATTGATAAAAATATGAAGGAAATTGGGGCATATGGTGTTATTGATAGATGTATTTTGATCAAATAAATAATTAAATTATTATAATAATAACCTTTAAAACACAAATCCTATTTTCTTTATTTTTACTCTAATAAATGAATTTTTTTTTGTCACATGTCACATTCTCATGTAATTTGATATCATATGTCACACTCTCATGCAATTTACCAAATATAATTTTGTGGTTATTTTGAATTAATTTTTTTTTCACATGTCATTTTATTAGTTTTTCTATTTTATTAAATTTCACATAATATTTTAATATAATAATTGCAATAAATATAGTAATAAATGGATATCAATTTCATTAATGAACTTACATTTTAATTTTAAAATTCTCAAATTAAAGCTCATTAGTTTCTTTTGTTTATTTATTTAAATTATTTGTTTAAATTTAAAAGATAAAAAACATTAAATTATAATAATTCATTATTTTTCTTATTTTCTTATAAATTTAAAGTTCTCAAATATTTTGACATTTATATTTGTTTTATTTTTTTTAAATCGACTCATATAATACATGGGTCTCACAACTAATACATGTTATATGTAGGATCGACTAAAAGTCAATTTGTAAATGTCAATTGAGATTTAAGTCGAGTTGGATTATTTGGAGTATAAAAAGTTTGATATCGATTCTATAAAACTTATGGTATTTTGGAACTAATTATGACTTTATTTACCTTAATTTTTTGTTTTGAGACAAACAACTAAACTATATTCGTGGAAACTTTTTTTTCCTTTTTTTTGTTAACTTTTCTTATTTAGCTTTTTTTCCAACTCACATCCGCTGCTTTTTTTTACTTTTTTTCAATTTGATTTTTATTAATTATTTTTTGGATTATTAATTAACTTATAACCAAAGAGATTCTAATTCAACGGTATTAAATGTTGTTCTCTATTTTTAAAATCAAGAGTTCAAGTTATGTATGAAACATATGTGATATTAGGGATAGACTAGATTTGACGTTAAAAAAAACTATTGCGATAAAATTTAACAAACGAAGTAGTTTACTAAAAATAAACAAGATGATGTAAATATACATTCATTGTTTGAGTTTCGATTAAACTCGCAAATGTGTGTTAGTTATTTAAGTTTTCAACATACTTGGTATTTTCCATTCATTTTATTTCTATTTTTTATTTAAAAAAACATATGGAACATAAAAAATATATTTTTTCTAAAAACACCAAGCCTTCACTTTTTCATATTTCATTAATTACAGACCCCTCTAGATTCTTGTAGTTACATGAATGATAATGCTCTCAAAGCATTTTTAGAAGCAAAGTTGTCCACCAACTTTTCATAATAAATATTTCCCAATATATTGTTCTCGATAGCTATAATTTTCAAGTCATTAAGTTTTTCTTGTGACATTGTGGACCGTATGTAGGACATTAACGATTTCAATTTTGAGAAACATGTTTCTACATGCGCAACGGTTACTAGAATAATCATCAAGACTCTATATGCATTAATTGTATTAGGAAAACAACTAATTTTTTCATATATTTTAAAACATTGGGGTTAGTAGTTTCACTCGGTAAGAACTCGTCAACCATAACTTCAGATAAAGTTCATTGTCGTCAATATCTAATCGTTCACCCTACTTAAGTGTGGCTTCAAGACGGTTGCAACACAATTTAAGATATTTGTCATCAAATTCCTTCAATTATTTTGAAAGCAAAAAACCAGAATGTTTTTCATAATTATTGTATTGTTCAAATCTTGTTTTAAAGGAAGTCATCGCTTGAAAAAAATAACAATTGAACACACAAGCCACAACATAAGTCAATCAATTTTGAAAAATGAAACACAAGAGGTGAGCATTGGATTTCTCATAAAATTGATTTTGATTTTTGAAATTGAAACAATCAATTAATCAATAATATCTAACTGAAGGCCAAAAGCGATTATGAAATTAAGTGATCTTATTGGATTTCGAAACTTATAATTTTGATTTCTAAATCAGATGATGCACTAATTTTGAAACAATCAGTTAATCAATAATCAAACACATACACACCCTCAATGCCTTAGCGGGTTCAAAAGAATGAGTGACGTCATAGCGACTTTCCGACTTGGATTGGCGATAATCATAGGCTGAACTGACTTTGCCCTGGTGACGATACCTTTGAATCAAATTTGTTTTCAGACATAGATTACTAGTCTACTATAATGAGTCGTATGTAAAAACTGGGCCCTCTTTACGACATGGGTCATGTGCAGTCGCCCACCTTTCACACCCTCAAAGACACCTATGTATGTGTGTGTGTGTGTGTGTGTGTATATATATATATATATAAACACACGTATGTATGTATGTATTCTTACTCGGTCACACGAACTTCTACCTTGACGTACTTCCTCATTATAAAAAAAAAATAGTGAATAAGAATAATCAAGAAGCCTTAAATATTTTCATGGTATCATCAATATTTTAATATATCATATAATGTAAAATTTAATCCCGTCCAAGAACTACAACCAACCTATCTCAACACAATGGATAAATCAATTGTTGAAAGTCTCGGCCCAAATTCAATCTTTTGGATACATATATCGGATTACCTACAAGAAAAGCATACAAATGACCAATTGAATGACATAAAGTAACTATCTTTATGGAAAAAGCAAAATTGGTTTGTTATTGGAACCATAAGAATTCTAAAAGAAGGATCGTTGGAGTTGATATTTCAAAGCAAAATTGGTTTGTTATTGGAACCATAAGAATTCACGGCCAGAAAAAAACCGATTTTGTTTATGCTTTATAAAAATCAGAGTACTTGTTTTAATAAAAATGTTGCGAAATTTGTTCCCAGAAAAACATGATAAATACGTTATCAAAGCATTTCCGAAGAAATGTATCTTTTATTCATTTTAAAACACTTGAGATGTCTTCGTCAATACAGAAACATAAGCATAAACAGAACTTACATTCATTTTCACTAGTGATTTATATCTCCTTAATCTGTCAGTGTATTGTAACTTCGTATCGACACCTGTGATACAAATAAGCTTGAGTGGGTCAGGTTGGGAAACCTGGTGAGTACATAGAGATTTCAATCCCACAATGTTATATCATATAATTTAGAACTCACAAAATATACAATTTCACCATATATATATATATATATATATATATATATATATATATATATATATATATATATATATATATATATAAGCAACTCTTACCCCACCCCGTTAATCCTCACAACGAGACTATCCATACTCTCGGACCTTAAATTTTTAACTCTTACTTAGTCCATTCTCTCGGATCTAATCCATGTTCTCGGATCAATAATTATGCCCATTCCATACTCTCGGGTGAGGGACAAGTGTCTATGTGTAAATCCATACTCCCGGATTAATGACGAACAACTATGTCCTGTCATACTCCCGGATTAAGGACAACTGACTATGTCTTAATCCATACTCCAGAATTAAAGACATTTGACTGTGTTCAATCCATACTCTCGGACTAGGGACAATGAATATGTCTAATCCATGCTCCCGGATCAATCACATATACTAAAATTCTATTCTCTGAGTATAACTTACTCGTACTCGTAAAAAGATACTACCCAATATTCCTCATAATTAATTTAGGTTTACTCTTTATCCTAAATCATCATATATAATTAGGTATGTTCTTTAACACGTATTTCAGGCAACATCAAATAACTCACACATAAACATATATTTAATACTTCAATCAATACTTGTATTAAAATCATGTTCATGAAAGGGACTATGCACTCACCTGATAAGGTGGTGACTCGGTACTCGGATGACACTTCGTTTACTTTAAACAACTCATTTGACAGAACCTAGTATCATTACCACTAGAGTTTAGTCTATGCTCGACGAGACTAATTAATAGTCTAACTATTATTACTATTATATAAGCGTTAACACAATATTTTTCACCCACTATGTACAAGTAGGGGCCAATCATGGAACACCGGAGGGCAAGATCATTTTGGCATATAGCACATCTGAAATCCAGCAACCCAAGCGGCCCTCCAAACCAGATTCCCCGTACCGCGAGTGGTTAAAAAGATATTATAACGACACTTATATAACTCATAATAATAGCCCAAATATTTATTATAAGGTCCTAATAACATTACTATATTTAAATAAAAACTATATTTAAAATAGCGTACGCGTATCTTACCTACGAGGGGGTTTGGCTAGAAGTTGGGCTCTGCAGGGGCAGAACTTCCGAGCCGAAAGCTCTTCTTCTCGGAGCCGTCGAGCGCTCGGGGCTTTCTTCTAGCGCTAGGGGAGTTTTGGGAGGTTTAGAGAGAGAGTAGAGAGAGAAGGGTGGAGGTGTGAAGAAATGAGGGTGGAAGGGGTTGTATTTATAGGGTGAAGTATGGCTGAAGTTGGTGCCACATGTCACCATCTAGTGGCAAGCCTTGGGGAGAAAGCAATGGCCAAGATTGTGCCACGTCACCCCTTTTGCAGCAGCACCCTGCCGACTTCTAAACCCCGTAACTTTCGCATACGAGCTTCGTTTTCGACGTTCTTTATATCCACGCGTAGGTAAAAATAAGATCTACAACTTTACTTTTGACTCTGTCGGCTAATTCTCGACCGATCTTAAATTTAACAGTATGAGGAGATTACACTGTTAAATGTCCGCGAAAAATTCGTAACTTCTTCATACGGACTCCGTTTTCGTCTGTCTTTTTTTCGTTGAGTTCATATTAATGAGATCTTCAATTCTCATTTAGGTCGCGTTGGCCAAAAACTGCTCGATCTAAAATTCGAGTTTCGGGTCGTGCACTGCTATGCCAAATCTTAGAAAAATCATAACTTCCTCATACGAAGTCAAATTTGGGCGTTCTTTTTTTGCACGCTCTCGGTTTAATGTATACTAAAACTTTTGTTTAGGTTACTAAGGCTAAAAATTCCTCTATCGTAAATTCACTATTTACGTCGCGCAGTGTCGTGCCGGTTCCGTCGCGAAACTTTGACGGGTCATAACTTTTTCGTTATAACTCGGATTTCGGCGTTCTTTATATGTACGGAACCCTTGTGACATATTCTACAACTTGGTTAAGATTACTCCTTCTAAATAATCTTCCATCAAAAACTCATTTTTGATGCTCATCGTCTCTAATTTGACTAGCTCGAATTTGCGGGCGTTACATGTCATGATCAAGGTTGGCTTACTATCAGATTACCTACAAGAGAATCATACAAATGACCAATTAAATTGTAATATCTGGGATTTATAAGGTACTAACTATATTATTATTAGACTAATGAATGGAATTGGTTTAGGCTTGGACCATTAGATCCTTGTGATTGGGCTGAGAAGTGTCGTACGCGGGGCATACTATGCCATGTACGCTCAGCGTAGTCATGAGATGAAGGCGCGGAAGCCATGCACATACGCCCAGCGTACCAAAGGGTACGCGCAGCGTACGCATGCAGACTCTAAAACCCTAAAATTTAGGGTTTGTGTAACACCCATAAAATTCAAGTCAATTTAAAACTTTTTAAGATATTCAAAAACCGATAGTTATTACAAATATATTTTCAAAATGGTTTAATATCAGAGTTTCCCAGAACCAAATCATAAAACATGAGGAGGTGCACGATCACGCCTTCGCCTTTCCGCGATCATCAGAAGTACTTGAGACAATAATCGATAAAATGTAAGCTCGAAGGCTTAGTGAGTTACCCCCAAAATACCAACACCATACCGATATAACCATATCATATAACATATAAGCAAACAGCATGCATAATGAGCCTTCAGCCTGACTGGACCGCCTCGCAGACCTTCAGTCTATCTGGACCGCTCTCCGAGCCTTCTACACGTCTGGACCGCCTCGCAGGGCCTACAGCCTATCCGGACCGCTCGTCGGGCCTTCGGCCTGACTGAATCCCTTTGCAGGGCCTTCAGTTTATTCGGACCGCCCTGGGTATGTTGGCCTTCAGCACAAAGCAGGACCGCCTCAACCCAACTCCCAATCAAACAAACATGTGCACATATTATGATACGCTAGCATATATATAACAGTCATACCGATCTAACAGATCATCAATCATAGCAACATCCTACAACCAGGATACCGACCTAAACAGGTCACTAACATAGCATCATCCTATATACCAGGATACCGATCTAACAGATCATAATAGCATAACAACATCCTATCTATCAGGATACCGATCTAACAGATCATAGCAATATATAACATCCTATCTACCAGGATACCGATCTAACATATCATAGCAATATATAACATCCTATCTACCAGGATACCGATCTAACATATCATAGCAATATATAACATCCTATCTACCAGGGTACTGATGTAACGAATCATAACAGCATATAACATCCTATCTACTAGGATATTGATCTAACAGATCATAGCAATATATAACATCCCATCTACCAGGATATTGATCTAACGGATCATAACATCATATAACATCCCATCTACCAGGATACTGATCTAACAGATCATACATCATATAACATCCCATCTACCAGGATACTGTTCTAACAGATCATACAATACTCGAGCATCACAACATATCAGTATATCAATCCAAAAAAGGGCCGGCCTTGGTGCCTTAGACCCTTGAGTATAGTGAGGAAAACTCACCTCACACTGCTGAAGTCCCGCGGATAAAACTCCGGCTGCTGGTTGACAGATCCCCGAGCTGTCAACATCAAACAACACTCAATTAATAATTGGGTTCCAAGCCCAAAGTCCAACTCACACTCTACAGGCCCAATAGTCAACCAATGGACTAAAGCCCAACATATGGCCCAATTTTCCAAATTGGGCCCAGACCTCTACATAGTCTTTCCTTAAGGCCCAGATATGGCCCCTCTATGGCCCAATTTTCCAAATTGGGCCCAAGACTCTCACATAGGCCTTATCGTAAAACCCATACAATTATTTAGTCCATTTACTTATTCTTGGAAAGCCCATTAATAGTCCAATCACCAAAGCCCAATAGAAAGGCCCAACTCAAGGCCTAAGTGAAATTAGGGTTTCCACATGAAATGACGATTAGGGTTAAGTGTTTCTTACTTAACCCATTAAGGACTTAATCCATTAAGTCCAATATTGCCTTAGGTCAATTTGCCAATAATTATTAATTAATATTTTAAGTTAAA